GGGAAAATTCTGGCTCCTTCATTCACCAACTGTGAGATCTTGGGCATCTGTGTAACCCCAGACCTCAGGGCCTCAGTCTCTTCATCTATAAAATGGGGACAATGTAACTAAAATGAGGATCATCATACAACCATTGGGTGAGGGCTACTGTAAGAGCCACACAAAACCCAGATGTAAAGGGCACGGAGCTCTGAGCTGTGATTCTCAGCCAGGGCTGGCAATGAGAAACACCTGCAGGCAGTGTGGCATCTACAGGCACTCTCTTCCCTGAGGGACTCCTAGGGCACACCCAGACTACAGGGCAGAGCACCTTGCAATGGAAGAAGTCCTGCAAGTATTCCATTGGTTTCACCTGCTTGCTTTGCTGATTCAACTTTTCCTCCTACAAAGTAGAGCCTTCATAAAGGGAATAACCGTACATTTGAGGCTCTGGCTACGAGGTGCGGTAGATCTGGAATGTGAAATCAAACTCCAGCCCTGATCTGCGGTCAAGTTATTTCCTCAAGGGACAGATATTCTTCTGCGCCCACCTAACAAGAGTTGATTTATTTATTTATTTTTAATTGGCTAGAAAGTTATTTAGGGCCAAGCCTGCTGACCAGGCTGGGTGATGCCACTTGGATCTGAAAAACACGCTGACTCTGAGATCATGAAACACCTGTCTTCTGGGGGCAGTGGGCCCGAAAGGGAGGCACTAAGGAGGAGACCAGGAAAGTTCTGGGTAAGGTAAGCTCCTGGGAGTAAGAGTGTGACCTCCTAAAGGGACTCCTTTTCCCACCCAGATGCACTTTGGAAAAAAGGCTTGGCAATCTACTTGCAAAAAATCGCAGCCTTGAAAACCCTCGGGGCTGCACTTCTATTCTACATGCGTGAGGGCACCATGAGTCCGAACTGACTCACAGGCAACTGGTTTTGCCCCTAGTCAATAAGGACATCAGCAGAGACGGGGGGCTCCCAGGAAGCTTTTCAACTGGGCAGGGCCTGATCTGGGTCAGTATAGCCAAAGAAGGGAGACGACAAGAAGGCAGGGGCAGACATCCTAACAGGTCAGAACAGGGCAGATCTGGATGGATCACGGAAACTCAAGCCACCAGAGGGAACCCACTTCCAACAATACCTGAAACCTCCCAGGGGCGGGCGGGGATGTAATGAACAAGGGAGGGGGCTGTGATGAATGGAGAGACATACCCCACCCGGAGGGGCACTACCACTATCCCCAGGCTCACTACTGGAAGGTGGGCTTCGCCTTCCTAAATCTGCCCACATGTTACTAGAAGCGAAACATTTGATTTTATTATTTTTTTTATTTTAAATCTCCACATTTTTAAATGTTGGTAAACAACTGCATTTTTTCAAACACGTGCAACCCATCAAAACATATCTGTGGGTAACATGTGGCCCCAGGCCACCAGCTTACATCCCTTAAGTTAAAAGGAGGGAGTCATGGTGACCTCAGGTGTGCACAGTAGAGCTGCTCCGTGGGGTTTTCCAGGCTGTGGCCTTTAGGAAACAGATCGCTGGGCCTGTCTTCCCAGACGCTACTGAGTGAGTTCAAATCGCCAGTCTTTCAGTTCGTAGTCAAACGCTTAACCATTTGTGCAAAAAGAAGGTCAAGCAACATAAAGCAGAGGATTCTCTGGTGTTCACCTCCCCGCAGGTCCCCTCCCTGCCTGCGGGATTGGAACAGCTTTCATATGTATCTGTCTTCACAACTCCACCCATCGGGCAATACCCACAGCCCAGGACTCAAGCCAGGGAAACACAGCTCAGCAAAGAAAACTCTCGGCACTTGGCTCTTCCTGGAGCCAGAATTTCCTCCCCAAACAGGATGGATTTACGTGCGGGAGGAAAGGGCTGCGCATGCGCCCGCTCCAGACCCCAGTACTTATACAGTTTTCATAAACTGCTGGCCATTATTTTGCTTCATAACAACAATCACTATGCAAATGAAACTGCCAGCTAATCCAAACAGGGCCTTTAAATTCACTTGCCAATGTTTTATGAAAAGAAACTTCAGGCTGGCCCTGACCAAGTGTGCTAAGAAAATGTTTAATCACAAGACAGACACATTTGAGTGAGGCAATTAGGCAAATAAGATGTCCTGACTTCACTCACAGAGCCCCCTGCTACCGGAGAGATACACCCCACCCAGAGGGGCACTACCATCACCACCACCCCTTCATTCAGCAAGACAATGGTGGTGAAATGAAAAGGTTCCAGGAGGGATGGTCAGATGTCAGACTCAAGTAGGAAAGGACAGAAAATTCAGAGCTTTGGGAAGCCTGCTCCCAAACTTGAATTGCTCTCTTAGGGCTCTTCCACCATGTCTTTTATACTTGAGGTATGGGAAGGGAGAAAGCGACAATTGCGGGGATCCTGCGGAACCAGGCAGGTGGGCATGCACACAGAGCTGGGGGTGGCTCCTGCAGTTGGCAGTGCTGGAAGGCCAGGCCCCATCCTGTGGCTCTGTGTGGTGCTCACACAAAGGGACCAGGACTTCCGGGCCACAAAAGCAGGGCTCAGGATGGCATGGGTGCCCAGCTGCAGGCAGGCTGGGGTCTGCCTGATTGCCACAGCCTGTCACAGGGTAGGGGGTAGGCCTGGGAACCCAGGCCGAGCTGGAGAGAGAGAAGGAGAGACTCAGGCAGGACCCCCAGAGGCCGATCTCAAGTCCTCTGAGGACTATGGAGTCGTCCCTGAACAGTTAACAGCCTCAGTGTCAGGATGAACTCAAAGAATATTCAAGCAAAAGAAAAATCACCGCATCAGGCTGCCTGGGCTCAATCAATGTGGCTCCACCTTGTGCACCCAGTGTGACTCCAGCCAAGTTACTTCACCTTTCTGTACCTCAGCTGGCTCATCTTTAAAAAAAAAAAAAAAACCTCACTGCCATCAGGTCGATTCCAACTCACAACTCACAGCAACCCCTTTTGGGTTTCTGAGGCAGTAGATCTTTACGGAAGTAGATTGTCCCATCTTCCTTCCTCGGAGCAGTTGATGGGTTTGAAGAGCTAACATTCTGGTTAGGTTTACACAGGGATTAGAAATGCATGCATCACAATAATGCTATGACAATGCAATGAGACAACACAGGCAAAACACTGAGCAGAGTCCTCAGAACACAGTAAACACTCAAGAAGTTTAGCTATTAATATCTGGTCCAAGCCCCTCTTTGTACAAGTAAGATCCACTGAAGGATGGTGGCTTTCCCAAGTCACAGGGAAGGTTAGCAGCAGAAGCTGGGCTTGACCCCAGTTCCAGCCTCCCCAGCAGAGATTTAGGGGAAGAGTGGGTAGGTGCTTAGCCCTCCAAGTCCCCTCCCAGAAGTACACTGGAGGAGGCGAGGTGGGAGGGCAGACCTCTGGAGCCGCTGCTCCCTGGGGCAGGGGAAACCGGAGCCTGGCCCTGGCAGAGCCTCCCAGGGGCCCGGGCAGGGGCAGCTGTCCAGAACTGTCTGTCCATGAAGGGGGCAGGGAGCCTGCCACTAGGAGCACGCTGTGTGCCAGTCCCTGGGGCCCAGGCGGCTCAGCCTGCTGGCTCCATCCAGAGCCCGCCCCAAGGGATGCTGGGGGAGGCGGCCAGGATCAGAGCTGCCGCTGAATGCTCCCCCTCCCCCAGCAACAGGGGACTAAAGTGGGTCAAGGAGGAAGGAGGGGGCCCAGGAGGGCTGGGGGAGGGGCCCGGGGAGCCTGAGAAGGTACCCAGAGGGAGGGGGCCAGGGGAAGATGACAGGAAAAGCAAAACCATGTGTGCAGTGGGCCCTGGGGGCTCAGGACAAAGCAAGCAGAGGCGCTGCCAAGGACTTGGGGGTCTCTTCAGAATCACCTCAGAAATAATTCCAGGGGGACAATAATTCAGCCCTGGCTCCTGCCCCCAGAGAGTCCTTCCTTTTCTCCATCCCCTGCCTCTTCCAAAGGCCCCCTACCTCACAGGCCCCCCAGCTAAGGCTTCTGTGTGGAGCACTCTCAGTCAGCTCCCACCCTCTGGCTCAAACCTGGAGGTAGGCCCAGCTGGGGCCCAGCTGTCCAGCCAGGAGTTGGGATCTGGGGAAGGTGGGGAGCCACAGTCTAGCCAACATGATCCTGGGCCCTGGGTCAATAGGACTCTGGTGGTACCAAGCCAAGTCAGGCCCCAGCCAGGGTCCCAGTTCACCAGGAAGGACGTTAAGAGGTGCCCTTGGGGGCCACCGAACAGAAAGAAAGGGAAGGAGGCAGGAAATGCCAAGCAGGGCTGTCCCCCAACTAGGAGGGGAAGCCAGGTCCCTGACCCCTCAGAGGCAGGGGCTGGGGCCACATTTTGATCCAGGGAACTGGTGGTCAGCCTCCACCCCTGGCTGGCCCTGGCCCAATCACTGGCTTCTCTCCCAGCTCCCCAACCCGGCACAGTCCAAAAAAAAAAAAAAAGGAAACCACCACCCGGGCAACTCGATATGGTCCAGAAACCTCCAGGGTCCCTGGGTTCCAGGAAGCTGTGAAGGAGGGGGGCGGAGGGCAGAGACTGCAGAGGGTCCAGTGCCTGGGGAGAGCTGTCAGGAGGGGGGCAGGAACGCCTGCTCCCTGGGCCTCTCTGCCAGAATGGGCACCAGGGGCAGGGCAGCCTGAAAACCCGGACCCAAGACGGGCACACACCCACAGGTTAGAACTCAAGACCAAGGTAAAATGCTGACAGAGAAGAGTATGCAGGCTCACAGCCCAGCCCTGGGCCCAAGAGGCAGTTTGCAGTTTGGGTGGATGTAGAGAGAGCTGGAGGACAGGGCCCTGTCTGGAATGCCTCAGCGAGGCTACCCACCCTCAACCACCACATCTAGAATTCCTGGGTTGAGTTAGCTGGACACCTGGAGCCCTGGGAGGTGCGCAATAGAAGGGAAGACTCCTTACATTGAATGTAGCAAGCACCTCACACCTCACACCAAGCAGAACAGAGAGGCTGGGATGGTCTGGGCCAGGCTGAGGGCCTTGCTGGATATACAGTTTCCAGAAAACCTAGAAGCAGATACAGCCATGTCCACCACCTACCCTAAATGTCCCAAGGACGCCATCTTCCCACCCCCTACCTGTCCAAGCTGCTTCTCCCTCAAATGCTCCTCAGGAGCAGGCCCTTGGGTGAGGAGGGTGTAGACTTGGCCACCAGCTGGGTCCTCAAGGGGGATATGGTGTTACCAGCCTCAGAGTTCAGGCTGTTTATGGGTCTGTCTCTCAGCCTGAATGAGCTCCTAGGGGGGTAGACAGGTAGGTGCTGACTCAACAGGCAGGCAGTAGGTGGCTAGGCCATGCTTGCAGATAAGAAATGGGAGGGGAAGAAGGCGGCCCTGGTAGTAACTCAGAGCCCAGGGCACCAGCTGGAACAGCCACTATGCAGTCAGGCAGCCTGGATGACCTTGGACCTGAGGCCAACCCTCTAAGTTCCCTCACCTACAGGATGTCCAACACATGGGTACCACACTCACAGGGCTGTTGAGGGGATTCAAGAGAAAACATGTACTAAACTCTCTGAACAGGCCTGGCACACGGTAAGCCTCAGTACATATTATCAATAAATGTTCTTATCCCTTCTTGCCGCCCAGGGGTCTGAGCTGATCTCTCTCCATCTCACAGAGCATGCCTGGAACTCTCCTACCAAAAATTAGGCAGATGTCCAGAGATGCCTCGCCCAGCAATGCCAGAGTCAAAACCTGGATCTATTTGCAAACCTGTTATTTCTCGAAAAGACACAAATGAACTCAGCAGTGCACTCCGTGCCCACACGGATCATACAGGCCTGGGAACCAGCAAGACAGGCAAAGAGGAGGGAGCCTTGGTGTGCTGGATCTGGGCCAGGTGCCTACGTTCAAATCCTGTCCGGTCCTTGCTGTGGGGCAGTGAGCGACTTATTTTACCTCAATTTCCTTCTTTGCAAAACGAGGATAATCATAGTGCCTACCTCATACGGCTGCTGTGCAGATTAAATGAATTAATGAATGTGAAGTTCTGGAAACAGTCCCTAGCACCTATGAAGCTCGCCAGCAGGAACGTTTTATTATTGTGTGCCCGTGGATGGCCCAAGCTGCCTCTAAGACCCTCCCCCAGCTCCGCCCCAGAGCTAAGGGCCAATCCATGCTCAAGTCCCCAGAGGGGTCCCTCCAGGAGCACATCTGGTCAGCGGGGGCCAGCAACCCACCCGCGGACTGGCATCCTGCTGGGGGCTAGACGCCGCCGCCGCCTCCTAGCCCACCCCCCCCCCAAAATTCTGGGTCTAGTACTCGGGAGTCCCGGGGGAGCCGTCCGGCCCCGGGCCGGCCCCAGACTCGGAGGGGCGGGCAGCCGGGGACGGCCCGCGGTGCAGAACAAGCCCAGGCCCCACCCGGGCAGCGCGAGCGAGCAGCCCAGCCTGCGCCTTCCCAGCCAGCCCCCCGCCGCGGCCGCTTTGTGCCCGAACCCGGGCCTGAGTTATTGCGCGGCAGCCATGGAGCCCTCCGGTGCGGGGGGTGGCCCGGCGCGTTCCCAGGACGATCGTCTCAAAGGGGTTTCGGGGGCGCCCCCGCAGGGCGGACAGACAAGGGCCCAGGGAGGGGCCGCGTTCCCAAGCGCCTGGCCCGGCTCGCCCCGGGTTGCTGGGCGGGAAGAGCCCCGAGGCCCCCTCCCCTGCTCCTGCTCGGTCTCTCCAGCCGTCCCTGGCCTCATACCCAACAGCTTACTCTACCCTTTCCCCCTCCTCTGCTCCCTCCTTCCGATTCTCCACCTCCTGAGCCCTTCTCCCTGAACCTCTCCCCTCTCTGTACCCACTCCCACCCCAAACCCCTTCTCCTCCCCACTTCCCTCCCCTCATCTCCCAGGACCCAAGTCATCCAGGGCAACTCTCGACAGGCTCCAGGAGGGCCCTATGCTGTAGTGTGCTGTGGATTTTGACTCACAGGGACCCTGTAGCACAGAGTAGAACTGCCCCATAGTGTTTCCAAGGCTGCTACCTTTACTGGAGCAGACCTGCCAGATCTCTTCCTGTGGAGGCTGGTGGTTCCAGCAGCCGCCCTTTCGAGTACTCTAACCACTACACCACCAGGTCTCCTTAAAAAAAAAACCAAACTCACTGCAGTCTAATCGATTCTGACGCACAGCGACCCCTCCTTGGGTTTCCAAGGCAGTATCTCTGTGGAAGTAGATTGCCCAGTCTTCCTTTCAAGTAGTGGCTGGTGGGTTTGAACCACCAAGCTTTCCAGTTAGCAGTCAAATGCTTTAGGTACTAAGCCACCAGAGCTCCCAGGGCTCCTTAAGAGAACCCTAAAACAAAACAAACCCCACTACTATCGGGTTGATTCCAACTCATACAACCCTACAGGACAGCATAGAACTGCCCCTACAAACGCTGAGTTAAAGCCCTTGTCTTGGAAAAGACTTGGATTCTGAGCTGAGCCTCTGGGGGAACTGGCAGGTGAATCCTCCTGGCCTCAGTTTTCCCATCTATGAGATGGGGGATAGGAATGTGGGTCTGGTGCCAGGCACTGCGGACACAGCAGTGACTGAGACAGGCTTGTGGTACCCAGGAAGGGACCATCAGTGGTGACTCACACAGGGTTACATAGAGATAGGCCTATGTAGTTCACCAAGGTGGGAGGGGAGTGCCACCGAGGTTCCCAGGATGAAATTAGTAGCCAGACGCTGCCCTGGCCCAGAAACTGGCCCCATCAAACTGACTCACTATCCTCCCCCGGGGAAGCCTCGCTCTGAGGATGGACTGCCAGAGAAACCAAGGAGTGGTGGTGAGCCCTCCCTGCGTGAGGAGGCAGAGACCTGAGAAAGCTCCTCCACCTCCTTCTACGCCCCAGCCTCATGAAAGGACCAACAGGAAAGCCCCCTTGAATGGTGCCATCACCAGCCATGCTCAAGTGTCACCCTCCATGGCCCTGTCTGGACAGCCTCCCCTACCACTCCTTGCCTCTCCCAACTCCAATGAAACACATTGCCATTGAGTTGATTCTGACTCATAATGACCGTATAGGACAGAGTAGAAATGCCCCATCAGGTTTCCAAAGCTGTACCATCTTTACAGAAGCAGACTGCCTCATCTTTCTCCCCCGGAGCAGCTGGTAGGTTCAAACCACTGACCTTTTGGTTAGCAGCCGAATGCTTTAACCACAGAGTCACCAGAGCTCCTTTCTGCCTCTCCCAGGACCTACTGTATTTACCAGAAGGGATGTTATTGATTCCTGTACTTGTACATGATGCCTCGCGCCCAGAATAAACTTCCATGAGTGCTGGACCTGGTCTGTCTCTTCACAAATGTGACCTCAGCACCTGGAGCAGTACCTGGCACATAGTAGGCACTCGGTAATAAGCATGAGTGGCAGGAATAGGGGAACAAGGGGATGAACAAACAACAAGTAATGACGGTAGAACTTAAAAGTCTAAAAACCCAAATTGTGCCCCAGATAAAAGAATTCCATGACAAGTGCTCAAATAAATTTGGAAGTCACTACAAACTATTAACATCCTGTTGCATTAAACATAAGCATATTTAAAGCCTTGGAGAAGCCATGCAGATTTTAATAACTTTAACTCTATTTAACCCACTTCTTTTATCTTGATTTGTTTTGTGTAGAACAACAAAATCCTGGAACACATTTTGGGAAACACCAATATAAGCTCATTTTGTAGCCCACAACCATGATTTTATAATAATAAACTGATAGTAGACAAAAGAAAGGGCTTGTTCCTTTCTTTATGCAGAGTCAGGCCTTTAGTACTTGGCACATAGTAGGCACTCCCAGACTGAATGGATGGATAGAAATTGATAAACACAGCAAGTCTACCATCAAACCAAAACCGGACTCAGTGCCATCAAGTGGATTCCGACACACAGCAACCCCCACAGGGTTTCCAAGGCTGTAAATCTTTAAGGAAGTAGACTGCTTCATCTTTCTTCCATGGAGCAGCTGGTGGGTTTGAACCACTGACCTTTTGGTTCGCAGCCAAATGTCTTAAGCGCTGCACCACCAGAGCTCCTTAAGTCTACCACAACACAGAGGCATTTTCTCTGCCCTGTACTTATAGTCAGAGCCAGATAAGGAATGACAAGAGTCTTTTCTCCCTGGAGGCTGGCCCATGTGCCCACTCATAGATGCACACACAAGTACATGCACACACACATGCATGTTAGCTCGCAAACACACATGCATGCAGAGACTCACATGAGCACCCACACACTTACATACGCCCACTAGCATATGCATGCAGACACACACATACATGATGCACCCACTCCCCTACATGCACATACTAGTACACACATGCACCCCCATACATGCTGTGCCCACAAAGACTCACACCCATGCACCTCATTGTGGGGCATCTACCTTCCCACATAGTCCCCCCGCCCCGTGCTCAGCCAGAGTGCTCCCTAAGTAGAGCAGCTACCCTCTGGTGAGTGGCAGATGGACCTTTAGAGAAGGGTAGAAGCCTCATTCAACACTGAAAGGGGCAGGGTCATTGCAGCAAGTAAGAGATTAAAAGTTTGGGGGTTTTCCCACCCATTTTCTCTATGCTGCATTTTGAACGCAAGTGTGGGAGACAGAACAAGGGAACAAATGGCAGAGTCTGGCTGCTCCATCATGCAGCCACCATCCCAAACTCTCCTCTGTAGACGTGGTCATTTAAGCTTTACGCCTCACATTTCCCTTGGGAGTAGAGGAAGGCATGGATCACTGGCATCGATTCACAAAAAAAGAAACGTGGGCTCACCAGTAAGACGAGAAGAGGGTGGGAGAGCAGAGGTAGGAGGCCAGGTCTCAAAAGTTTGAGGGTCCCAGGCCCTGGCCTGAGTGAGTGGCAGCAGCAAGAGCCACACCCCCTCTTCGGCTGCCCCCAGGCACATCTCTGCATGACCCTGGACAAGTGGCTCACCATCCTCTCTGGGGAAGTTTGGCAATCCACATGAGAAGGGAGCTAGGCTGAGGGTTCTCTCACATCTATTGCTGCTTGAGAAAATGAAAGCCTGAGCCTCGACCCCAGCCCACCCTAGCAGCTCCATGAGCAGTCCCAGATGAACGGGGTAAGACTAATAAGATCCTGACTGTACAGAGCCTGCATACAAGAGGTGCTCATTAAAGGTTAGCTACTCTTGTTGTGAGTCCGTTCCTCAGGGTCCACATCAAATGCTAATCAGTCTTCCAGCCCTTGCTGCATTCTCCCTATGAAAAGGAATATCACAGTTTCCCCACTCCTTCCCCAGCCCTGAACTTGAACCTCTATCTTGGCCTGCCCCACCTCGTCCTATGGTTACAGTCTTACTGCTCTCACCAGACTGGCCTCCGCTTGGTTATCTCTGCATCCCTCCAGGGCCAGCCTAAGAATCTTTCCTGAGTAAGGTGCTCAGGATTTGGATAGATGGATGGACAGATGGACGGATGATGGACAAGGGGGAAGGGATAGAGCAAAAGAAGGAGGGAAAAAGAGAGAAAGGGGGGAGAGAGAGAGAAGAAGGAAGGAACTAAGTTAGTTAACAAGGGAGAAGAAATATGACTACAGGACTCAGTAAAGGAGAGGAAACACCCAGACCCCCAAGGTCTTTACCCCGTGCCATGCTCCTTCCTAAAGAAAAAATAAAAATAGCCTATAATGGTAGGAAAAAATGATTAATGTCACTAGTAATCAGAAGTGCAACTTAAGACACCAGGCTATGTCTTGTCTGCCAGACTGGCAAAAAGGAAAAACAGAGAAGAAAGAGAAAAAAAGGAAACATCAAGAGTGGGCAAAGATGTGGAGAAATAGGTAGCCATACACTATTATTAAAGGGTAAACTGGGCCAGTCTTTATGGAGGACAATTTGGCTATCTCTGTGAATTGGAATTGACTTGATGGTAAAAGGGGATTATCACATTTTTTAGATGAGTACCCTTTGGCCCAGCAACTCCACTTCTAGGAATCGACCGTAATAAATACTCACACAGGAACACAAAGATTTATAAATGAGGATGTTCACACCCTCATTGTTTAGAATAGCAAAATAACTGAAAGCAGCTAAATGTTTATCAAGAGCAAATTGTAAATAAATATTGTTACATTCATATTGTTCGGCTGTCACTTGAACAGAATAAGGGAATGCTGCATGGTTTAAAATCAGGAAGGGAGTGTGTCAGGGTTGTATCCTTTCACCTACTTATTCACTCTGTACACTGAGCAAATATCCAAGAAGCTGGACTATATGGGGAAGAGTGTGGCATCAAAATTTGAGGAACACTCATTAACAACCTGTGATACGCAAATGACACAACCTTGCTTGCTGAAAGTGAAGATGAGTTGAAGCACTTACTGATGAAGATTAAAGACAACAGTCTGCAGTATAGATTACACCTTAACATGAAGAAAACAAAAATCCTCATAACTGGACAAATAAGCAGCATCATGAGAAATGGAGAAAAGACTGAAGCTGTCAAACATTTCATATCATTTGGTTCCACCATCAACACCAATGGAAGCAGCAATCAAGAAATCAGGCGATGTATTGTACTGGGCAAGTCTGCTGCAAAAGACCTCTTTATAAAGTGCTGAAGAGCAAAGATTGCTCTTTGAAAACTAAGGTGCGCCTAACCCAAGCCACAGTTTCAATCACCTCATATGCATATCAAAGCTGGACAATGAATAAGGAAGACCAAAGAAGAGTTGATGCTTTTGAGCTGTGGTGTTGGCAAAGAATGCTGAAAATACCATGGACTGCCAGAAGAACCAACAAATCTGTCCTGGAAGAAGTGCAGCCAGAATGCTCCTTGGAAGTGAGAATGGCCAGACTTCGTTCTCACCTACTTTGGTCATGTTGTCAGAAGGGACCATTCCCTGGAGAAGGATATCATGCTTGGTAAAGTGGAGGGTCAGTGAAAAAGGGGAAGGCCCTCAAC